TGAGACTCACTGGTGCGGTGAGACTCACTGGTGTGGTCAGACTCACTGGTGTGGTGAGAGTGGTGTGGTGAGACTCACTCGTGAGGTCAGACTCACTCGTGAGGTCAGACTCACTCGTGTGGTCAGACTCACTGGTGTGGTCAGACTGGTGTGGTGAGACTCACTGGTGTGGTGAGACTCACTGGTGTAGTCAGACTCGTGGGGTCAGACTCACTCGTGTGGTCAGACTGGTGTGGCCAGACTCACTGGTGTGGTCAGACTCACTCGTGTGGTGAGACTCGTGTGGCCAGACTCACTGGTGTGGTGAGACTCGTGTGGCCAGACTCACTGGTGTGGTCAGACTCACTGGTGTAGTCAGCCTCGTGGGGTCAGACTCACTCGTGTGGTCAGACTCACTCGTGTGGTCAGACTCACTGGTGTGGCCAGACTGGTGTGGTGAGACTCACTGGTGTGGTCAGACTGGTGTGGTGAGACTCACTGGTGTGGTCAGACTGGTGTGGTGAGACTCACTGGTGTAGTCAGACTCACTGGTGTGGTCAGACTCACTCGTGTGGTCAGACTCACTGGTGTGGCCAGTCTGGTGTGGTGAGACTCACTGGTGTGGTCAGACTCGTGTGGTGAGACTCACTGGTGTGGTCAGACTCACTGGTGTGGTCAGACTCACTGGTGTGGTCAGACTTACTCGTGTGGTCTCTATGATGAGTTTATGGGTCTCTGCTGTGTGATGAGTCTATGGGTCTCTGCTGTGTGATGAGTCTATGGCTCTCTGTGTGTGATGAGTCTATGGGTCTCTGTTGTGTGATGAGTCTATGGGTCTCTGCTGTGTGATGAGTCTATGGGTCTCTGCTGTGTGATGAGTCTATGGGTCACTGTGTGGTGAGTCTATGGGTCTCTGCTGTGTGATGAGTCTATGGGTCTCTGCTGTGTGATGAGTCTATGGGTCTCTGCTGTGTGATGAGTCTATGGGTCTCTGCTGTGTGATGAGTCTATGGGTCTCTGCTGTGTGATGAGTCTATGGGTCACTGTGTGGTGAGTCTATGGGTCACTGTGTGGTGAGTCTATGGGTCTCTGCTGTGTGATGAGTCTATGGGTCTCTGCTGTGTGATGAGTCTATGGGTCTCTGCTGTGTGATGAGTCTATGGGTCTCTGCTGTGTGATGAGTCTATGGGTCTCTGCTGTGTGATGAGTCTATGGGTCTCTGTGTGATGAGTCTATGGGTGTCTGCTGTGTGATGAGTCTATGGGTCTCTGCTGTGTGATGAGTCTATGGGTCTCTGCTGTGTGATGAGTCTATGGGTCTCTGTGTGAGTCTATGGCTCTCTATGATGAGTCTATGTGTCTCTGTGTGATGAGTCTATGGCTCTCTGCTGTGTGATGAGTCTATGTGTCTCTGTGTGAGTCTATGTGTCTCTGTATGATGACTGGCTCTCTGTGTGAGTCTGTGGGTCTCTATGATGAGTCTATGGCTCTCTGTGTGAGTCTGTGGGTCTCTGTGTGAGTCTATGGGTCTCTGTGAGAGTGGATCTGTGTGAGTCTGTGGGTCTCTGTGTGAGTCTGTAGGTCACTGTTTGAGTTTTTAGGTCTCTGTGTGAGTCTATGGCTCTCTGTGTGAGTCTATGGGTCTCTATGATGAGTCTATGGCTCTCTGTGTGAGTCTATGGGTCTCTGTGTGAGTCTATGGGTCTCTGTGAGAGTGGATCTGTGTGAGTCTGTGGGTCTCTGTGTGAGTCTGTAGGTCACTGTTTGAGTTTTTAGGTCTCTGTGTGAGTCTATGGCTCTCTGTGTGAGTCTATGGGTCTCTATGATGAGTCTATGGCTCTCTGTGTGAGTCTGTGGGTCTCTGTGTGAGTCTATGGGTCTCTATGATGAGTCTATGGCTCTCTGTGTGAGTCTATGGGTTCTCTGTGTGAGTCTATGGGTCTCTATGATGAATCTATGGCTCTCTGTGTGAGTCTGTGGGTCTCTATGATGAGTCTGGGTCTCTATGATGAGTCTATGTGTCTCTGTGTGAGTCTATGGCTCTCTGTGTGAGTCTGTGGCTCTCTGTGTGAGTCTGTGGGTCTCTATGATGAGTCTATGGGTCTCTCTCTATGATGAGTCTATGTGTCTCTATGATGAGTCTATGTGTCTCTATGATGAGTCTATGGCTCTCTCTCTATGATGAGTCTATGGGTCTCTTTGATGAGTCTGTGTGTCTCTGTGTGAGTCTATGTGTCTCTGTGTGATGACTATGGGTCTCTATAATGAGTCTATGTGTCTCTGTGTGAGTCTATGGGTCTCTATGATGAGTCTATGGGTCTCTATGATGAGTCTATGGCTCTATGTGTGAGTCTGTGGGTCTCTATGATGAGTCTATGGCTCTCTGTGTGATGACTATGGGTCTCTATGATGAGTCTGTGTGTCTCTGTGTGAGTCTGTGGGTCTCTATGATGAGTCTGTGTGTCTCTGTGTGAGTCTGTGGATCTCTATGATGAGTCTATGTGTCTCTGTGTGAGTCTATGTGTCTCTGTATGATGAGTCTATGGGTCTCTATGATGAGTTTATGGGTCTCTATGATGAGTCTATGGCTCTCTGTGTGAGTCTGTGTGTCTCTATGATGAGTCTATGGGTCTCTATGATGAGTCTGTGTGTCTCTGTGTGAGTCTGTGGGTCTCTATGATGAGTCTGTGTGTCTCTGTGTGAGTCTATGGGTCTCTGTGTGATGAGTCTGGGTCTCTATGATGAGTCTGTGTGTCTCTGTGTGAGTCTGTGGGTCTCTATGATGAGTCTGTGTGTCTCTGTGTGAGTCTGGGTCTCTATGATGAGTCTGTGTCTCTATGATGAGTCTGGGTCTCTATGATGAGTCTGTGGGTCTCTATGATGAGTCTGTGGGTCTCTATGATGAGTCTGGGTCTCTATGATGAGTCTATGGGTCTCTATGATGAGTCTGTGGGTCTCTATGATGAGTCTGTGGGTCTCTATGATGAGTCTGTGTGTCTCTATGATGAGTCTGGGTCTCTATGATGAGTCTATGGGTCTCTATGATGAGGCTGTGGGTCTCTATGATGAGTCTGTGTGTCTCTGTGTGATGACTATGGGTCTCTATGATGAGTCTGTGGGTCTCTATGATGAGTCTGGGTCTCTATGATGAGTCTGTGTGTCTCTATGATGAGTCTGGGTCTCTATGAGTCTGTGTGTCTCTGTGTGAGTCTATGGATCTCTGTGTGATGAGTCTGTGTGTCTCTATGATGAGTCTGGGTCTCTATGATGAGTCTGTGTGTCTCTGTGTGAGTCTATGTGTCTCTATGATGAGTCTGTGGGTCTCTATGATGAGTCTGTGTGTCTCTGTGTGAGTCTATGGGTCTCTGTGTGATGAGTCTGGGTCTCTATGATGAGTCTGTGTGTCTCTGTGTGAGTCTGTGTGTCTCTATGATGAGTCTGTGTGTCTCTGTGTGAGTCTATGGCTCTCTCTCTATGATGAGTCTATGGGTCTCTATGATGAGTCTGTGTGTCTCTGTGTGAGTCTATGGGTCTCTATGATGAGTCTGTGTGTCTCTATGATGAGTCTGTGTGTCTCTGTGTGATGAGTCTATGGGTCTCTATGATGAGTCTATGGCTCTCTATGATGAGTCTGTGTGTCTCTGTGTGAGTCTGGGTCTCTATGATGAGTCTATGGGTCTCTATGATGAGTCTATGGATCTCTGTGTGATGAGTCTATGGGTCTCTATGATGAGTCTATGTGTCTCTGTATGATGACTATGGGTCTCTATGATGAGTCTGTGTGTCTCTATGATGAGTCTGTGTGTCTCTGTGTGAGTCTATGGGTCTCTATGATGAGTCTATGGCTCTCTATGATGAGTCTATGGCTCTCTATGATGAGTCTGTGTGTCTCCATGATGAGTCTATGGCTCTCTATGATGAGTCTATGGCTCTCTATGATGAGTCTATGGCTCTCTATGATGAGTGTGTGGGTCTCTGTGTGATGACTATGGGTCTCTATGATGAGTCTATGGCTCTCTGTGTGAGTCTGTGGGTCTCTATGATGAGTCTGTGTGTCTCTGTGTGAGTCTGTGGGTCTCTATGATGACCATGGGTCTCTATGATGAGTCTGTGTGTCTCTATGATGAGTCTCTGGGTCTCTATGATGAGTCTGTGTGTCTCTGTGTGAGTCTGTGTGTCTCTATGATGACCATGGGTCTCTATGATGAGTCTATGGGTCTCTATGATGAGTCTGTGTGTCTCTGTGTGAGTCCGTGTGTCTCTATGATGAGTCTATGGGTCTCTATGATGAGTCTGTGTGTCTCTATGATGAGTCTGTGTGTCTCTATGATGAGTCTGTGTGTCTCTATGATGAGTCTGTGTGTCTCTATGATGACTCTGTGTGTCTCTATGATGAGTCTATGGGTCTCTGTGTGATGAGTCTATGGGTCTCTATGATGAGTCTATGGGTCTCTATGACGAGTCTGTGTGTCTCTATGATGAGTCTATGGGTCTCTATGATGACCATGGGTCTCTATGATGAGTCTATGGGTCTCTATGATGAGTCTGTGTGTCTCTGTGTGAGTCCGTGTGTCTCTATGATGAGTCTATGGGTCTCTATGATGAGTCTGTGTGTCTCTATGATGAGTCTGTGTGTCTCTATGATGAGTCTGTGTGTCTCTATGATGAGTCTGTGTGTCTCTATGATGACTCTGTGTGTCTCTATGATGAGTCTATGGGTCTCTGTGTGATGAGTCTATGGGTCTCTATGATGAGTCTATGGGTCTCTATGACGAGTCTGTGTGTCTCTATGATGAGTCTATGGGTCTCTATGATGACCATGGGTCTCTATGATGAGTCTGTGTGTCTCTATGATGAGTCTGTGTGTCTCTATGATGAGTCTGTGGGTCTCTATGATGAGTCTATGGGTCTCTATGATGAGTCTATGGGTCTCTATGATGAGTCTCTGGGTCTCTATGATGAGTCTGTGTGTCTCTATGACGAGTCTGTGGGTCTCTATGACGAGTCTGTGTGTCTCTGTGTGAGTCTGTGTGTCTCTATGATGAGTCTGTGGGTCTCTATGATGAGTCTGGGTCTCTATGATGACCATGGGTCTCTATGATGAGTCTGTGGCTCTCTATGATGAGTCTGTGTGTCTCTGTATGATGACTGTGGGTCTCTATGATGAGTCTGTGTGTCTCTATGATGAGTCTGTGGCTCTCTATGATGAGTCTGTGTGTCTCTATGATGAGTCTGTGTGTCTCTGTATGATGACTGTGGGTCTCTATGATGAGTCTGTGTGTCTCTATGATGAGTCTGTGGCTCTCTATGATGAGTCTATGGGTCTCTATGATGAGTCTCTGGGTCTCTATGATGAGTCTGTGTGTCTCTATGATGACTATGGGTCTCTATGACGAGTCTATGGGTCTCTATGACGAGTCTGTGTGTCTCTGTGTGAGTCTCACTGAGCAGGGTTGCTGTGCCGTAGCCCCGTGCGGCTCCTGTGAGCGCCGCGCCCAGCGGCAGGGTGCAAGCCGCCAGCGTGCGGTGGCGAGAGCCCTCCACCAAGTGCAGCCGCAGCGCCGCACCGCCGGCGCCGCCGACGACGCCGGTGCCGGTGGCGGTGGCCCGGTGGTGGTGGTGGTGGTGGTGGCCGCGCAGCTCCTCCAGCAGAGCGGCGTCGGCGCCGGGGCTCACGCAGAAGCGTGCCGTATCGCGGTACACCGGCCGCAGGCCCTGCGCCACCCTGGTGCTCTACCACGTGCGGGGGTGAGAGTGTGGTGAGGGGGGTGTGGTGAGAGGGTGGGGTGAGTGGGGTGACAGTGTGGTGAGTGGGGTGACAGTGTGTTGAGTGTGGTGAGTGAGTGGGGTGACAGTGTGTTGAGTGAGTGACAGTGTGTTGAGTGAGTGGGGTGACAGTGTGTTGAGTGAGTGACAGTGTGTTGAGTGAGTGGGGTGACAGTGTGTTGAGTGTGTTGAGTGAGTGAGTGACAGTGTGTTGAGTGAGTGACAGTGTGTTGAGTGAGTGACAGTGTGTTGAGTGAGTGGGGTGACAGTGTGTTGAGTGGGGTGACAGTGTGTTGAGTGGGTGACAGTGTGGTGAGTGGGATGACAGTGTGTTGAGTGGGGTGACAGTGTGTTGAGTGAGTGGGGTGACAGTGTGTTGAGTGGGGTGACAGTGTGTTGAGTGGGGTGACAGTGTGTTGAGTGGGGTGACAGTGTGTTGAGTGGGGTGACAGTGTGTTGAGTGTGGTGAGTGAGTGGGGTGACAGTGTGTTGAGTGGGGTGACAGTGTGTTGAGTGAGTGACAGTGTGTTGAGTGGGGTGACAGTGTGTTGAGTGTGTTGAGTGAGTGACAGTGTGTTGAGTGAGTGACAGTGTGTTGAGTGAGTGGGGTGACAGTGTGTTGAGTGAGTGACAGTGTGTTGAGTGAGTGGGGTGACAGTGTGTTGAGTGGGGTGACAGTGTGTTGAGTGAGTGACAGTGTGTTGAGTGAGTGGGGTGACAGTGTGTTGAGTGTGTTGAGTGAGTGAGTGACAGTGTGTTGAGTGAGTGACAGTGTGTTGAGTGAGTGACAGTGTGTTGAGTGAGTGGGGTGACAGTGTGTTGAGTGGGGTGACAGTGTGTTGAGTGGGTGACAGTGTGGTGAGTGGGGTGACAGTGTGTTGAGTGGGGTGACAGTGTGTTGAGTGAGTGGGGTGACAGTGTGTTGAGTGAGTGGGGTGACAGTGTGTTGAGTGGGGTGACAGTGTGTTGAGTGAGTGGGGTGACAGTGTGTTGAGTGGGGTGACAGTGTGTTGAGTGGGATGACAGTGTGTTGAGTGGGGTGACAGTGTGTTGAGTGAGTGAGGTGACAGTGTGTTGAGTGGGGTGACAGTGTGTTGAGTGGGGTGACAGTGTGTTGAGTGGGGTGACAGTGTGTTGAGTGTGGTGAGTGAGTGGGGTGACAGTGTGTTGAGTGGGGTGACAGTGTGTTGAGTGAGTGACAGTGTGTTGAGTGGGGTGACAGTGTGTTGAGTGTGTTGAGTGAGTGACAGTGTGTTGAGTGAGTGACAGTGTGTTGAGTGAGTGGGGTGACAGTGTGTTGAGTGGGGTGACAGTGTGTTGAGTGGGGTGACAGTGTGTTGAGTGAGTGACAGTGTGTTGAGTGAGTGGGGTGACAGTGTGTTGAGTGAGTGACAGTGTGTTGAGTGGGGTGACAGTGTGTTGAGTGGGTGACAGTGTGTTGAGTGAGTGGGGTGACAGTGTGTTGAGTGAGTGAGTGACAGTGTGTTGAGTGAGTGACAGTGTGTTGAGTGGGGTGACAGTGTGTTGAGTGAGTGACAGTGTGTTGAGTGGGGTGACAGTGTGTTGAGTGAGTGACAGTGTGTTGAGTGGGGTGACAGTGTGTTGAGTGAGTGGGGTGACAGTGTGTTGAGTGAGTGACAGTGTGTTGAGTGAGTGACAGTGTGTTGAGTGAGTGGGGTGACAGTGTGTTGAGTGAGTGGGGTGACAGTGTGTTGAGTGAGTGACAGTGTGTTGAGTGGGTGACAGTGTGTTGAGTGAGTGGGGTGACAGTGTGTTGAGTGAGTGGGGTGACAGTGTGTTGAGTGGGTGACAGTGTGTTGAGTGGGGTGACAGTGTGTTGAGTGAGTGGGGTGACAGTGTGTTGAGTGGGGTGACAGTGTGTTGAGTGAGTGGGGTGACAGTGTGTTGAGTGGGGTGACAGTGTGTTGAGTGTGTTGAGTGGGGTGACAGTGTGTTGAGTGGGGTGACAGTGTGTTGAGTGAGTGACAGTGTGTTGAGTGAGTGACAGTGTGTTGAGTGAGTGACAGTGTGTTGAGTGAGTGGGGTGACAGTGTGTTGAGTGAGTGGGGTGACAGTGTGTTGAGTGGGTGACAGTGTGTTGAGTGGGGTGACAGTGTGTTGAGTGAGTGGGGTGACAGTGTGTTGAGTGGGGTGACAGTGTGTTGAGTGTGTTGAGTGGGGTGACAGTGTGTTGAGTGGGGTGACAGTGTGTTGAGTGTGTTGAGTGAGTGGGGTGACAGTGTGTTGAGTGGGGTGACAGTGTGTTGAGTGAGTGACAGTGTGTTGAGTGGGGTGACAGTGTGTTGAGTGTGTTGAGTGAGTGACAGTGTGTTGAGTGAGTGACAGTGTGTTGAGTGAGTGGGGTGACAGTGTGTTGAGTGGGGTGACAGTGTGTTGAGTGAGTGACAGTGTGTTGAGTGGGGTGACAGTGTGTTGAGTGAGTGACAGTGTGTTGAGTGAGTGGGGTGACAGTGTGTTGAGTGAGTGAGTGACAGTGTGTTGAGTGAGTGACAGTGTGTTGAGTGGGGTGACAGTGTGTTGAGTGAGTGACAGTGTGTTGAGTGGGGTGACAGTGTGTTGAGTGAGTGACAGTGTGTTGAGTGGGGTGACAGTGTGTTGAGTGAGTGGGGTGACAGTGTGTTGAGTGAGTGACAGTGTGTTGAGTGAGTGACAGTGTGTTGAGTGAGTGGGGTGACAGTGTGTTGAGTGGGGTGACAGTGTGTTGAGTGAGTGACAGTGTGTTGAGTGGGTGACAGTGTGTTGAGTGGGGTGACAGTGTGTTGAGTGAGTGGGGTGACAGTGTGCTGAGTGGGGTGACAGTGTGTTGAGTGAGTGACAGTGTGTTGAGTGGGGTGACAGTGTGTTGAGTGTGTTGAGTGAGTGACAGTGTGTTGAGTGAGTGACAGTGTGTTGAGTGAGTGGGGTGACAGTGTGTTGAGTGAGTGATTGTGTGTTGAGTGGGTGACAGTGTGTTGAGTGGGGTGACAGTGTGTTGAGTGGGGTGACAGTGTGTTGAGTGAGTGACAGTGTGTTGAGTGGGGTGACAGTGTGTTGAGTGAGTGGGGTGACAGTGTGTTGAGTGGGGTGACAGTGTGTTGAGTGAGTGGGGTGACAGTGTGTTGAGTGTGTTGAGTGTGTTGAGTGAGTGACAGTGTGTTGAGTGGGGTGACAGTGTGTTGAGTGAGTGACAGTGTGTTGAGTGGGGTGACAGTGTGTTGAGTGAGTGGGGTGACAGTGTGTTGAGTGGGTGACAGTGTGTTGAGTGAGTGGGGTGACAGTGTGTTGAGTGTGTTGAGTGAGTGACAGTGTGTTGAGTGGGGTGACAGTGTGTTGAGTGTGTTAAGTGAGTGACAGTGTGTTGCGTGTGTTGAGTGTGTTGAGTGGGGGTGAGTGAGGGTCACCCGCGTCTCAAAGTCGTAGAAGTCCAGCGTGCACAGCGTCCTCACGTCCTCCAGCACCACCGCCTCGCCGGCGGCACCGGCGGCGGCGCCGGCGGCGGTGCCGGCGGCGGTGCCGGCGGCGGCGGCGGCGGCGGCGGTGCCGTGCCCATGCGGCGCGAGGAGCTTAGCCAGAACGGCCGGGTCGAGTGCGGCGCTCGCCACGTGGATCTCCAGCACGCTGTCGCCTCGCCGCAGCTCCAGCGTCGTCGCCAGCTCGCCGTCGTCGTCGGCGGAGTCGGCGGAGTCGGCGTCGGCGTCGCCGGCGGCGTCGTCGGCGTCGGCGTCGTCACCGCGCTGCGCCAGCGTGTAGCGCTGGGTGCCATAGGCGATGTGCTTCAGTTGGGCTGCCGTGGCGGGGAGGGGGACGGAGGAGAGGGAGGAGAGGGAGGAGAGGGAGGAGAGTGAATGTGGGTGAGAGTAGGCGGTGAGGGCGGTGAGGGCGGTGAGAGAGCGGTGAGGGCGGTGAGGGCGGTGAGAGAGTGGTGAGTGTGGTGAGTGAGTGGTGAGTGAGTGAGTGGTGAGTGCGTGAGTGGTGAGTGCGTGAGAGAGTGGTGAGTGCGTGAGTGGTGAGTGAGTGAGAGGGTAGTGAGTGTGGTGAGTGAGTGGTGAGTGGTGAGTGAGTGGTGAGTAAGTGAGTGAGAGAGTGGTGAGTGAGAGAGAGTGGTGAGTGAGAGAGTGGTGAGTGAGTGAGTGAGTGGTGAGTGAGAGAGTGGTGAGTGAGTGAGTGGTGAGTGAGTGAGTGGTGAGTGAGTGAGTGAGTGGTGAGTGAGTGAGTGAGTGGTGAGAGAGTGGTGAGTGAGAGAGTGAGTGGTGAGTGAGAGAGTGGTGAGTGTGGTGAGTGAGTGGTGAGTGGTGAGTGAGTGGTGAGTGAGAGAGTGAGTGGTGAGTGGTGAGTGAGTGAGTGAGTGGTGAGTGAGAGAGTGAGAGAGTGGTGAGTGAGTGAGTGAGTGGTGAGTGAGTGAGTGGTGAGTGAGTGAGTGAGTGGTGAGTGAGTGAGTGGTGAGTGAGTGAGTGGTGAGTGGTGAGTGAGTGGTGAGTGAGAGAGTGGTGAGTGAGAGAGTGAGTGAGTGGTGAGTGAGAGAGTGGTGAGTGGTGAGTGAGTGGTGAGTGAGTGAGTGAGTGGTGAGTGAGTGGTGAGTGAGTGGTGAGTGGTGAGTGAGAGAGTGGTGAGTGAGTGGTGAGTGAGAGAGTGGTGAGTGAGAGAGTGGTGAGTGCGTGAGTGGTGAGTGAGTGAGAGGGTAGTGAGTGTGGTGAGTGAGTGGTGAGTGGTGAGTGAGTGAGTGGTGAGTGAGTGATTGAGTGGTGAGTGAGAGAGTGGTGAGTGAGTGAGTGAGTGGTGAGTGGTGAGTGAGAGAGTGAGTGAGTGGTGAGTGGTGAGTGCGTGGTGAGTGAGTGGTGAGTGAGAGAGTGGTGAGTGGTGAGTGAGTGAGTGGTGAGTGGTGAGTGAGAGAGTGGTGAATGGTGAGTGAGTGGTGAGTGAGAGAGTGGTGAGTGGTGAGTGAGAAAGTGGTGAGTGAGTGAGTGCGTGGTGAGAGAGTGGTGAGTGCGTGGTGAGTGAGTGGTGAGTGAGAGAGTGGTGAGTGAGTGAGTGGTGAGTGAGTGAGAGAGTGGTGAGTGCGTGAGTGCGTGGTGAGTGGTGAGTGAGAAAGTGGTGAGTGAGTGAGTGGTGAGTGAGAGAGTGGTGAGTGGTGAGTGAGAGAGTGGTGAGTGGTGAGTGAGAGAGTGGTGAGTGAGTGAGTGGTGAGTGAGTGAGAGGGTAGTGAGTGTGGTGAGTGCGTGGTGAGTGAGTGGTGAGTGAGAGAGTGGTGAGTGGTGAGTGAGAGAGTGGTGAGTGAGTGAGTGGTGAGTGAGTGAGAGGGTAGTGAGTGTGGTGAGTGCGTGGTGAGTGAGTGGTGAGTGAGAGAGTGGTGAGTGGTGAGTGAGTGGTGAGTGAGTGAGTGGTGAGTGGTGAGTGAGAGAGTGGTGAGTGAGTGGTGAGTGGTGAGTGAGTGAGTGGTGAGTGGTGAGTGAGTGGTGAGTGAGAGAGTGGTGAGTGAGAGAGTGGTGAGTGGTGAGTGAGAGAGTGGTGAGTGAGTGGTGAGTGAGAGAGTGAGTGAGAGAGTGGTGAGTGAGTGAGTGGTGAGTGAGAGAGTGGTGAGTGGTGAGTGAGAGAGTGGTGAGTGGTGAGTGGTGAGTGCGTGGTGAGTGAGTGGTGAGTGAGAGAGTGAGTGAGTGAGTGGTGAGTGAGTGAGTGGTGAGTGAGTGAGTGAGTGGTGAGTGAGAGAGTGGTGAGTGGTGAGTGAGTGGTGAGTGAGTGGTGAGTGAGTGAGTGAGTGGTGAGTGAGTGGTGAGTGAGAGAGTGGTGAGTGAGTGGTGAGTGAGAGAGTGGTGAGTGGTGAGTGAGTGAGTGGTAAGTGAGAGAGTGGTGAGTGGTGAGTGAGTGAGTGGTGAGTGAGAGAGTGGTGAGTGAGAGAGTGGTGAGTGAGAGAGTGGTGAGTGGTGAGTGAGTGAGTGGTGAGTGAGAGAGTGGTGAGTGAGAGAGTGGTGAGTGAGTGAGTGAGTGGTGAGTGAGAGAGTGGTGAGTGAGAGAGTGGTGAGTGAGTGAGTGGTGAGTGAGAGAGTGGTGAGTGAGAGAGTGGTGAGTGGTGAGTGGTGAGTGAGAGAGTGGTGAGTGAGAGAGTGGTGAGTGAGAGAGTGGTGAGTGGTGAGTGAGAGAGTGGTGAGTGAGTGGTGAGTGAGTGAGTGGTGAGTGAGAGAGTGGTGAGTGAGTGAGTGGTGAGTGAGTGAGAGGGTAGTGAGTGTGGTGAGTGCGTGGTGAGTGAGTGGTGAGTGAGAGAGTGGTGAGTGAGTGAGTGAGTGGTGAGTGGTGAGTGAGTGGTGAGTGAGAGAGTGGTGAGTGAGTGGTGAGTGCGTGGTGAGTGAGTGGTGAGTGAGTGGTGAGTGAGTGGTGAGTGCGTGGTGAGTGAGTGGTGAGTGAGTGGTGAGTGAGTGGTGAGTGAGAGAGTGGTGAGTGAGTGGTGAGTGAGTGGTGAGTGAGTGAGTGGTGAGTGGTGAGTGAGTGGTGAGTGAGAGAGTGGTGAGTGAGTGAGTGGTGAGTGGTGAGTGAGTGGTGAGTGAGAGAGTGGTGAGAGAGTGGTGAGTGAGAGAGTGGTGAGTGAGAGAGTGGTGAGTGAGAGAGTGAGTGGTGAGTGAGTGAGTGGTGAGTGAGAGAGTGGTGAGTGAGAGAGTGGTGAGTGAGAGAGTGGTGAGTGAGAGAGTGGTGAGTGGTGAGTGAGTGAGTGGTGAGTGAGAGAGTGGTGAGTGCGTGGTGAGTGAGTGAGTGGTGAGTGAGTGCCCCTCACCACGTAGCCGGTGTAGCTGTGTGTCCCGTGTCCCCAGGGCGTCCGCGTGGCGCCGCTGCCGCTCGTCAGCCTCCCGGCGGGCGCCCTCCACCTGCTGTGCCACCGCCTCCAGCTCCACCTGGGACACACGCACACAGACACACACACACAGTCACACACACACAATCACACACACAGACACACACACAGACACACACAGACACACACACACACAGACACACACACAGTCACACACACAGTCACACACACAGACACACACACAGTCACACACACACAGATACACACAAACACAGTCACACACACAGACACACAGTCACACACACAGTCACACACACAGATACACACACAGACACACACACAGACACACACAGACACACACACAGATACAAACACACACAGATACACACACAGATACACACACACACACACAGACACACAACAACAACAACAACAACCGCCATTCGCCACTAAGTGGCGGTGACGTCACCACGATGCTTGTGCCAGGCTATGTGCACCCTGAGGCCACGTGAAGTGTCGAACGCCCGCTGGCAGGAGGTCACGGGGCAGACCCAGGTGCCACAGGTCGACTGACTGAGATGACTGGCTGATGCACCACCTGTGCCCCCTACTATGGCAACCTGCTGTGCTTTAGCCACCCGGCGCTCCGCTCGTTGTTGTGAGCGTCGCTCCTCCGCCCTCCGTTGTTGTTGGAGGGCGACTGCCTCCAACTGCCCAGTAGCATCCTTCACGAGCCTCCTCCACAGAGGCCGATCTTGACACCGCTGGTACCAGTCATCGGCAAGTCCACTCAGCTCCACGTCCTCCTGTACCACATCACTCCATCTCTTCTCTTGCCCGTGCCGCGCCCGCTTAGCCCCCTCAATCCGGCCGAACAAAAGCTGTTTCGGCATGCGGTGGCTGGGCATGCGGGCTACATGACCCAGCCATCGCAGCCTTCCCCGCCGGAGGAGCTCACCGATGGGACCTTGCCCAGATCTTTCAAGGATTTGTGAGCTCCTCACACAATCCAGTCTGGTTAAACCCAGGATGGATCGTAGGCAGGCCAGCCTAAATGTTCTAACCGGCGAAGATGTTCCATTAGGGGGGTTCACGTTTCGCAAGCGTAGAGAAGGGAGGGAATGACCGTGGCCGAAAAGACCTGAAGCTTAGTGCGGAGCGACAGACCAGGTAGCTTCCACACAGCGTTACGCAACCGATGAAAAGATATTGCCACTCGACTGATTCGGAGTGAGACCTCTGCTGTTAAACTGGAGCCAGTCATAAGCACACTGCCCAGGTATGGGAAACTCTCCACTCTCTCTACAACTGCCCCATCACCGATTGGGAGTTGTGGGGGTGGAGTGTCCGATGGTACAAAATACCCAGGCAGGTGCTTAGTTTTGGTGGGGCTGATGGTAAGGCCCCACCTCTTAGTGGCACGCTCCAGTCTCAGCAGCAGCGTCTCCAACTCCTCCTCTGAATGGGCAGCTATTACCAAATCATCAGCATACATAACGTGGTTGAGCAATTGGGAGCCATCCCTTGACCACACCCGGGCATCGATCAGCCTCCCATTATATCTGTACCATATGGAGATTCCCCCGGTACAGCTATTGAAGGCTTCACAAACTACGTGGTCAAAATAGATGTTAAATAATGTGGGAGCCAGAGGACATCCCTGTCGCACCCCAAGGTGTACAGGGAATGGCTCTGACTCCCGGCCACGTAGTTTTACCCGGGCCCGCTCACCATCATGAAGGTCCTTAATGATCGTGAGCAGAGGGTCAGGTACTCCAAAAGCACGAAGAACAACCCAGAGCCCAGGCCTACTGATGGTATCATAGGCCTTGACCAGGTCAATAAAGCAGAGATGTAGGTCTTGTTGGAATTCCCTACACCTCTGCTGTAGTAGACGGACAGAAAATATGGCATCTGTGCAGGACCGCCCTTTCCTGAAACCGCATTGGGGCTCCGCAAGCCTCTCCTCAGCGTGCCTGGCAAGGCGATGCTGAATAATCCTTGCCAGGACCTTTCCCGGCACACTGAGGAGTGAGATGCCCCTGTAGTTGTTACAGTCTGTGCGGTCCCCCTTCTTAAAAAAGGGGGACCACCAGGGCATCGTTCCAATCCTGCGGAACCCGTCCAGTGGTCCAGACCGTTGTTATGATGTCATATAGGGCAGTCTGTGCACAAACGCCACCCTCCCTCAGCACCTCGCTTGAGAGATCATCTCTGCCCGCTGCCTTTCCTGGTCTCAGACTCCGGATCGCCTTCAGTACTTCCTCAACAGATGGCACCTCAGCCAGCCACTCACAGGGGGTGACTTCTTCCAATATTTGAGGCACCGCAGCCTCAGCATGGTCATCCCCACTTTGTGCCACGATGTTTTCCTGGCTGAGGGATTTTCCCTCCCCCAGGACCTCACAGAAATGCTCAGCAAATCTGCAAACCTGTTCCTGGGGGTCGGAGATTGGATCACCGTTTTTTCCCCTAATGACGGTAATAGGTGTGGCGCTGCAGGTTACTTTTTTGATGGAGTTAAATAGAGATTTGTGATCACGGGCCACTGAGGCAGACTCCATCTCCTCAGCAACCCGCGACCACCACCCATCCTTGCAGCGCCTCACAGCTCTCCGAACCTCCTAGCGAAGGCTGCGGTAAGCCTCCTCATTCTCTGACGTGGGATTCTGTAGCCGGTGACAGTGGGCCTGTCGCTTTTTCTCAACCATCCTGAACACCTCCTCTGTCAGCCAGGGTCTCTGGGGAGGTCTGGACCGCGTACCCAAAGCAGCCATTGCAGCTGCATGAGTCACAGTCCTAAACCTCGCCCATTTACCCTCGACATCAGGAGGAGTGGGGGACGATGCCAACCCCAGCCGCAAGCGATGATGAAATTCTCGCTTCCAACTTTCATCAGCTAGCTTTAGACTAGGCCACCTTAGGTTGGAATGGGGTCCTGGGTGTACATCCACCACAGGAGTGAAAGAATGGCAGGGGCATCTTACAGATGACTAGTCGATGGTCAGAGGGCAGATCAGCTCCACGGTAGGTCCTGGTTCCAAGGACATGGGCACGCATCCGCTGGTCCATCACGATGTAGTCCAGCAGATGTTCTTGCTTGGACCCGGCATGCATCCATGATGTTGTGTGGATGCGCTGATGCCGGAACAGCGTGTTGGTAATTATGAGCCCATGGGCTGCACAAAAATCTAGCAGCCTCCTACCGTTGTTATTGAGCTGATCTGGCCTATGCCCTCCAATCACTCCAGACCAGGTGCCAGCATCATGACCAACTCGGGCATTGGACTCTATCCCGAGGGGCCACTTTAGCCAGCACCTGTGACAGGAGGTCATAGAAGGCATCTGACTCATCGGCTTTGCCTGCATCCCTCCACGGATGTTCGTCTTCGGTGGGGGCAAAAGTAACCACGACCACCACTCCTCGCCTCCGGGTGATGGGAAGGCGAGCCCAAAGTAACCTGGGGCTTACAGCTTCCCACACCTCACCGCCATGATCCCACGCTCCCCTTCATTCTTTTGTTAAGAAGAAAAGCCACACCCTGTTGTTTGGCAGTCTGCTGCCCCGAGTAGAGGACTGTCCACTCTTCATGGTGGCAGGAGCCAGAGCCAGTCCACTGGACCTCCTGAATGCCACAGAGGTCCAGGCGGTACCGGCCCAGCTCCCGACAGAGGAGTGGCAGCCTCTCCTCCGCAGTGAGCAATCGAACATTCCACGTGGCCATCCGTAGTGGCTTTTCGTTGTTTCTGGAGGAGCCCCGAAGGTAAAGATTCAGTGTCCTGGCTCCGCCAGATGGGGTTTGGCCAGGAGACGTCATAGACGCCTGTCCCCCCGGGGCCCCTGGCACAAGCTTATTAGTTAGATACTTAAGTCGTGGTTTAGTGGTAATTTATTGAAGGTGGAGGGGTTACCAGCCCCTCGCACCAATCCAGAGCCCCATTTAGCCACTGTGGTGGTCACAGATGCCATGAGGGGAGAGGCCAATCGGAATTGGCCCTCCCCCCCACGGCACTGTCCATGACAGCGTTGCCCGTCCGGCACCGCGAGGAGGTAGGGGGTTATTTTGCGGTGCCTCACACAGACACACACAGACACACAGAGACACACACACAGAGACACACAGAGACACAAACACAGACACACAGACACAGACACACAGACACACATACACAGACACACACACACAGACACACACACACACACACAGAGACACACACACAGACACACACACAGACACACAGACACACTCACAGAGACACACACAGAGACGCAGCCCCACCATCCTCACCGCTGTGTAGCGCGGCACTCGTGTGCTAGTGGTAGTGTGGTAGCGGTGTGGTAGCGGTGTGGTAGCGGTGTGGTAGTGATGTGATAGTGGTGGTGTCTTAGTGTGTTAGTGGTAGTGTGGTAGTAGGAGTGTGGTAGTGTGGTAGTGTGTTGGTGGTAGTGTGGTAGTAGAAGTGTGGTAGTGTGGTAGCGGAGTGGCAGCGGTGTGGCAGCGGTGTGGTAGTGGTGTGTTAGTGGTAGTGTGGTAGTAGAAGTGTGGTAGTGTGGTAGTGTGTTAGTGGTAGTGTGGTAGTAGAAGTGTGGTAGTGTGGTAGTGTGTTAGTGGTAGTGTGGTAGTAGGAGTGTGGTAGTGTGGTAGTGGTGTGATAGTGGTAGTGTGGTAGTAGTAGTAGTGTGGTAGTGGTGTGGTAGTGGTGTGGTAGTGTGATAGTAGTGTGTTAGTGTGGTAGTGTGGTAGTGGTGTGATAGTGGTAGTGTGGTAGGAGTAGTGTGGTAGTGGTGTGGTAGTGGTAGTGATCTTGATTTGAAGCTTTCGTGACTGCAGGAATCCATACTCTTTGGTTCTTTCAGTGAAGTCATCACGTGGTAGGTAGAAAAATAAAATAAATCACGACGTTTCGATCGCAACCCCACAAGCGGTCGTCCTCAGGCGGAAAGAATAATCCAGCAGTGGAACTGCTGAACCAGCGAGAGAGCCGTTACAACAAGGTTATTATATATGTGGTGATGGGCCAGCAGGCGGGGTCTCAGCTGGAAAGGAATTCCATCCCTACTACAACAACAAGGTTATTATATACGTGGTGATGGGCAAGCAGGCGGGGTCTCAGCTGGAAAGTAATTCCATCCCCACTACAACAACAAGGTTATTATATACGTGGTGATGGGCTAGCAGGCAGGGGTCTCAGCTGGAAAGGAATTCGATCCCCGCTACAACAAGGTTATTATATACGTGGTGATGGGCCAGCAAGCGGGGTCTCAGCTGGAAATCCTTCCCCACTACAACAACAAGGTTATTATATACGTGGTGATGGGTTGGCAGGCAAGGATCTCAGCTGGAAAGGAATTCCATCCCCACTACAACAACAAGGTTACTATATACATGGTGATGGGCCAGCAGGCAGAGTCTCAGCAGGAATTCCATCCCCGCTGCTACAACAAGGTTATTATATACGTGGTGATGGGCAAGCAGCCGGGGTCTCAGCTGGAAAGGAATTCCATCTCCGCTATAACAAGGTTATTATATACGTGGTGATGGGCCAGCAGGCGGGGTCTCAGCAGGAATTCCATCCCCGCTACAACAACAAGGTTATTATATACGTGGTGATGGGCAAGCAGGCAGGGTCTCATCTGGAAAGAATTCCATCCCTGCTACAACAAGGTTATTATATACGTGGTGATGGGCCAGCAGGCAAGGGTCTCAGCTGGAAAGGAATTCCATCCCCCTACAACAAGGTTATTATATACGTAGTGATGGGCCAGCAGGCGGGTTCTCAGCAGGAATTCCATCCCCACTACAACAAGGTTATTATATACGTGGTGATGGGCCAGCAGGGGGGGTCTCAGCTGGAAAGGAATTCCATCCCCACTACAACAACAAGGTTATTATATACGTGGTGATGGGCCAGCAGGCAAGGGTCTCAGCTGGAAAGGAATCCCATCCCCACTACAACAAGGTCATTATATACGTGGTGATGGGCCAGCAGGCGGGGTCTCAGCTGGAAAGGAATTCCATCCCCACTACAACAACAAGGTTATTATATACGTGGCGATGGGCCAGCAGGCGGGGTCTCAGCTGCAAAGGAATTCCATCCCCACTACAACAACAAGGTTATTATATACGTGGTGATGGGCCAGCAGGCAAGGGTCTCAGCTGAAAAGGAATTCCATCCCCACTACAACAACAAGGTTATTATATACGTGGTGATGGGCCAGCAGGCGGGGTCTCAGCTGGAAAGGAATTCCATCCCCGCTACAACAACAAGGTTATTATATACGTGGTGATGGGCCAGCAGGCGGGGTCTCAGCTGGAAAGGAATTCGATCCCCGCTACAAGAAGGTTATTATATATGTGGTGATGGACCAGCAGGCAAGGGTCTCAGCTGGAAAGGAATTCCATCCCCACTACAACAACAAGGTTATTATATACGTGGTGATGGGCTGGCAGGCAAGGGTCTCAGCTGGAAAGGAATTCCATCCCCACTACAACAACAAGGTTATTATATACGTGGTGATGGGCCAGCAGGCGGGGTCTCAGCTGGAAAGGAATTCCATCCCCACTACAACAACAAGGTTATTATATACGTGGTGATGGGCCAGCAGGCGGGGTCTCAGCTGCAAAGGAATTCCATCCCCCTACAACAAGGTTATTATATACGTGGCGATGGCAAAGCAGGAGGGGTCTCAGCTGGAAAGGAATTCCATCCCCACTACAACAACAAGGTTATTATATACGTGGCGATGGGCCGGCAGGCGGGGGTTCTCAGCTGGAAAGGAATCCCATCCCCGCACGCAAGCACGTCAGGTGTGTCAATGTGGGACATTAGCGAGAGAGACTAGCGGTGCAGTGTGTTTGCGGTGTAGCGGTGTGGCGTGGTAGTGCAGTGGTAGTGCGGCGGTGGCGGTGCGGCGGCGGCGGCACCTGGTAGTCGCGGTTGATGCGGTGCTGCATGAGCAGCATGCCGCGCGTCTTCTCCAGCTCCTGCACGACATCGGCGTGCTCCACCTGCAGCTCCCGCAGACGGCGCTCCACCTCCTCCCGCTCCACCACCCCGGCGGGGCTCGCCGGGCCGTCGCCCGCCTCTCGCCGGTGCCTCCGGCGCTCCTGGTGCCCGGCACCACGGCGGTGGCCACGGTGGGGGGGGGGGGGAGGGGGGAGGGGTTTGCCGATGAGACCCACCCACTCCACCCCACTCACCCACCCACTCACTCACCCACCCACTCACCCACCCACCCACTCACTCACTCACCCACCCACCCACCCACTAACCCACCCACTCACCCACTAACCCACCTAATCAACCACCAACTATACGACCAACCCACCCACTAACCAACCCACCCACTAACCCACCCACCCACTCACCCACCCACCCACTCACCCACCCACCCACTCACCTACCCACCCACTCACCCACCCACTCACCCACCCACCCACCCACTCACCCACCCACCCACCCACTCACTCGCTCACTCACCCACCCACCCACCCACTCACCCACTAACCCACCTAATCAACCACCAACTAAACGACCAACCCATCCACTAACCAACCCACCCTCTAACCCACCCACCCACTCACCCACCCACCCACTCACCCACCCACCCACTCACCCACTCACCCACCCACCCACTGACTAACACACCCACCCACTAACCCACCCACCCACCGACTAACCCACTCACCCACTCACCCACCCACCCACTCACCCACCCACCCACTCACCCACTCACCCACCCACCCACCCACTCACCCACCCACTCACCCACCCACCCACCACCACCGCACCTTTATGAGCAGCAACGCCTCTCCGATCTCCTCCAGGTTCGCCTCGCTCTCCTGCAACAACAAACAACAACAACGCTGCCACCAACAACAACAACACCACCAACAACAACGCTGCCACCACCACCAACAACAACGTTGCCACCACCACCACCAACAACAACGCTGCCACCACCAACAACAACAACACCACCCACAACAACAACGCTGCCACCACCAACAACAACAACACCACCAACAACAACGTTGCCACCACCATCAACAACAACAACGCTGCAACCATCAACAACAACAACACCACCAACAACAACGCTGCCACCACCACCAACAACAACAACACCGCCACCACCACCAACGTCACCACCACCAACGTCACCACCACCAACAACAACGCTGCCACCACCACCAGCAGCAAGGCCCCACACAGATGTCCGCTCCCTCCCCCCCCCAGGGCTACCACCACCACCACCAACAACAACACCACCACCAACAACAACACCACCAACAACAACAACGCTGCCACCATCAACAACAACACCACCAACAACAACGTTGCCACCACCAACAACAACAACGTTGCAACCATCAACAACAACAACACCACCAACAACAACGCTGCCACCACCACCAACAACAACAACACCGCCACCACCACCAACGTCACCACCACCAACGTCACCACCACCACCAACAACAACACCACCACCAACAACAACACCACCACCACCAGCACCACCACCACCACCAACCACACCACCACAGCACCACCACTACCACCACAGCACCACCACTACCACCACAGCACCACCACCACCACAGCACCACCACCACCACAGCACCACCACCAACACCACCAGCACCACCACCACCACAGCACCACCACCAACCACAGCACCACCACACCACAGCACCACCAACAACACCACCACCACCACCACAGCACCACCACAGCACCCACAGCACCACCACCACCACCACAGCAACACCACAGCACCCACAGCACCACCACCACCACAGCACCAGCACCACCAACCACAGCACCACCACAGCACCACCACCACAGCACCACCAAGGCCCACACAGATGTCCGCTCCCCCCCGGGCTACCTTGGTGAAGTAGCTCAGCCTCTCCGCCAGCTCCTCGGCCAGGGCCTTCTGCTCCAGGAAGTTCGCTCGCAGCTCCCGCACCTCCTGGCGCAGCGCCTCGCTCTGCCCTGCACAGCGCAGCGGCGGGGGCAGTGGAGGGCAGCAGTGGGGGGGGCAGCAGTGGGGGGGCAGCAGTGGGGGGGGGCAGCAGTGGGGGGGGCAGCAGTGGGGGGGGGGGGCAGCAGTGGGGGGGGCAGCAGTAGGGGGGCAGCAGTAGGGGGGGGCAGCAGTAGGGGGGGCAGCAGTGGGGGGGGGGGCAGCAGTGGGGGGGGCAGCAGTAGGGGGGCAGCAGTAGGGGGGGGCAGCAGTAGGGGGCAGCAGTAGGGGGGGCAGCAGTGGGGGGGGCAGCAGTGGGGGGGGCAGCAGTGGGGGGGCAGCAGTAGGGGGGGGCAGCAGTAGGGGGGGCAGCAGTGGGGGGGGCAGCAGTAGGGGGCAGCAGTAGGGGGCAGCAGTAGGGGGGGGCAGCAGTGGGGGGGCAGCAGTAGGGGGCAGCAGTAGGGGGGGGCAGCAGTGGGGGGGGCAGCAGTGGGGGGGCAGCAGTAGGGGGCAGCAGTAGGGGGGGCAGCAGTGGGGGGGCAGCAGTGGGGGGGGCAGCAGTAGGGGGGGCAGCAGTAGGGGGGCAGCAGTGGGGGGGGCAGCAGTAGGGGGGGCAGCAGTAGGGGGCAGCAGCAGCAGGAGCATCATCGGTGTGACGTCGCCGTTGAAAGAGGGCGACTGGGTGGCTTCATCAGACTTGGCCACGACGCTCTGGCCCAACCACCTCCCCTAACCCCCACCCTGCCCCCCCCTGCCCCCCCCCTGCGCCCCCCTGCCCCCACCCTGCCCCCCCCTGCCCTGCCCTGCCCCCCCATGCTCCCCCCCCCCCCCCCCCCCCCCCCCCCCCCAACAGGGAGCGGCCAACGAACGGGAGAGATCCTCCGGCCTCACCTCCCCCGCTCCAAACCCGACCACACGGAGACGCTCGCCCACCGGCCACCGGCTCCGGCCACCGGCCACCGGCTCGAGCTACAACGGCGATTCCGGCCACACCGACCGCTCAGGCCACACCGACCGCTCCGGCCACACCGACCGCTCCGGCCGCACCTCTCTCGGCGTCCAGCAAGTCGACGATGCGGTTCTTGTCGGCCAGGTCGGCCTGCAGGGCGGCCTCCAGCTGGGCCACCTGCAGGCGGAGCCTCTGCTCCGACGCCCGGCGCTCACTGTCCCCGTCTGTGCCCAGGGCGCTGCCGCCGCAGTCACCGGCAGTCACCGCAGTCACAGTCACACCAGTCACACCGTTACCACAGTCACCACAGTCACCGCAGTCACAGTCACACCAGTCACACCATCACCACAGTCGCCGCAGTCACCACAGTCACAGTCACACCAGTCACACCGTTACCACAGTCACCACAGTCACCACAGTCACAGTCACACCAGTCACACCATCACCACAGTCGCCGCAGTCACCACAGTCACAGTCACACCAGTCACACCGTTACCACAGTCACCACAGTCACCACAGTCACCACAGTCACAGTCACACCAGTCACACCGTTACCACAGTCACCACAGTCACACCGTTACCACAGTCACACCAGTCACACCGTTACCACAGTCACCACAGTCACCACAGTCACACAGTTACCACAGTCACACCGTCACCACAGTCACCGCAGTCACCACAGTCACACCGTCACCACAGTCACCACAGTCACACCAGTCACACCGTTACCACAGTCACCACAGTCACACCAGTCACACCGTTACCACAGTCACACCAGTCACACCGTTACCACAGTCACCACAGTCACCACAGTCACACAGTTACCACAGTCACACCGTCACCACAGTCACCGCAGTCACCACAGTCACACCGTCACCACAGTCACCACAGTCACACCAGTCACACCGTTACCACAGTCACCACAGTCACACCAGTCACACCGTTACCACAGTCACACCGTTACCACAGTCACCACAGTCACCACAGTCACACCGTTACCACAGTCACACCGTTACCACAGTCACCACAGTCACCACAGTCACCACAGTCACACCAGTCACACCGTTACCACAGTCACCACAGTCACCACAGTCACCACAGTCACCACAGTCACACCGTTACCACAGTCACCACAGTCACCACAGTCACCACAGTCACCACAGTCACACCAGTCACACCGTTACCACAGTCACCGCAGTCGCACCAGTCACCACAGTCACCACAGTCACCACAGTCACCGCAGTCACCACAGTCACACCGTCACCGCAGTCACCGCAGTCACCGCAGTCACCGCAGTCACCACAGTCACACCAGTCACACCAGTCACCACAGTCACCACAGTCACCGCAGTCACCGCAGTCACCGCAGTCACCACAGTCACACCGTCACCACAGTCACCGCAGTCACCACAGTCACCACAGTCACACCAGTCACACCGTCACCACAGTCACCACAGTCACCACAGTCACCGCAGTCACCACAGTCACCGCAGTCACCGCAGTCACCGGCGGCGGCGGCGGCAGCAGCACAACAACCAAAACCGTCAACGTCATCATCGCAGCAACCATCATCGTCGTCACCACCACCACTACAATCATCATCACCACCACTACAATCATCATCATCACAGCAACCATCATTATCATCACCACCACCACTACAATCATCATCACCACCACCACTACAATCATTGTCACCACCACCACCACTACAATCATCGTCATCACCACCACCACTACAATCATCATCATCACAGCAACCATCATCATCACAACCATCATCGTCATCACCACCACTACAATCATCATCATCATCACCACCACCACTACAATCATCATCATCACAGCAACCATCATCATCACAACCATCATCGTCATCACCACCACTACAATCATCATCATCACCACCACCACCACCACAATCATCATCATCACAGCAACCATCATCATCACAACCATCATCGTCATCACCACCACTACAATCATCATCACAGCAACCATCATCATCATCATCACCACCACCACTACAATCATCATCATCATCATCACAGCAACCATCATCATCACAACCATCATCGTCATCACCACCACTACAATCATCATCATCACCACCACCACTACAATCATCATCATCACCACCACTATAATCATCATCATCATCACAGCAACCATCATGATCATCATCACAACAATCATCATCATCACCACCACTACAATCATCATCACCAGCACCACAATCATCATCATCACCAGCACCACAATCATCATCAGGAAGTAGAGAGAGGACAGGGAGACAGGGAGAGAGACAGAGAGAGAGACAGGGAGAGAGACAGGGAGAGACAGGGAGACAGACAGGGAGACATGGATACAGGGAGAGACGCAGAGAGACAGGGAGAGACACAGGGAGACAGAGAGAGACACAGGGAGAGAGAAAGAGACACAGAAAGAGACAGAGAGAGAGAGACAGGGAGACAGACAGGGAGAGAGACAGGGAGAGAGACAGGGAGACAGGGAGAGAGACAGGGAGACAGGGAGAGAGACAGGGAGACAGGGAGAGAGACATGGAGACAGCAAGAGAGAGACAGGGAGACAGACAGGGAGAGAGACAGACAGGGAGACAGGGAGAGAGACAGGGAGAGAGACACAGGGAGAGAGAAAGAGACACAGGGAGAGACACAGAGAGAGAGACAGGGAGAGAGACAGGAAGAGAGAGACAGGGAGACAGGGAGAGAGACAGGGAGAAAGACACAGGGAAACAGGGAGAGAGACAGGGAGAGAGACACAGGGAGAGAGAAAGAGACACAGGGAGAGACACAGAGAGAGAGACAGGAAGAGAGAGACAGGGAGAGAGAGACAGGGAGAGAGACAGGGAGACAGGGAGAGAGACAGGGAGAGAGACAGGGAGAGAGGGAGAGAGAAACAGGGAGACAGACAGGGAGACAGGGAGAGAGACAGGGAGAGAGAGAGAGACACAGGGAGAGACACAGAGAGAGACACAGGGAGAGAGAGACAGGGAGACAGACAGGGAGACAGACAGGGAGACAAGGAGAGAGAGAGACACAGGGAGACAGACAGGGAGACAGACATGGAGACATGGAGACAGGGAGAGAGACAGGGAGAGAGACAGGGAGAGAGGGAGACATGGAGAGAGGGAGAGAGAGACAGGGAGACAGACAGGGAGACAAGGAGAGAGAGACACAGGGAGACAGACAGGGAGACAGACATGGAGACATGGAGACAGGGAGAGACACAGGGAGAGAGACAGGGAGAGAGACAGGGAGAGAGACAGGGAGAGAGGGAGACATGGAGACAGGGAGAGAGAGACAGGGAGAGAGACAGGGAGAGAGAGACAGAGAGACAGGGAGAGAGACAGGGAGAGAGAAAGACAGAGAGACAGGGAGAGACACAGGGAGAGACAGACAGGGACGGAGGGTGACAGGGAGAGAGGGAGACATGGAGACAGGGAGAGACACAGGGAGAGAGACAGGGAGAGAGGGAGTCATGGAGACAGGGAGAGACACAGGGAGAGACAGACAGGGAAGGAGGGAGACAGGGAGAGAGGGAGACATGGAGACAGGGAGAGAGAGACAGAGAGACAGAGAGACAGGGAGAGAGACAGAGAGACAGGGAGAGACACAGGGAGAGACAGACAGGGAAGGAGGGAGACAGGGAGAGAGAGACAGGGAGAGAGACAGGGAGAGAGAGACAGAGAGACAGACATGGAGACAGAGAGAGAGACAGGGAGAGAGAGAGACAGAGAGACAGGGAGAGAGAGACAGAGAGACAGGGAGAGACAGAGAGACAGACAGGGAGACAGAGAGACAGGGAGAGACACAGGGAGAGACAGACAGGGAAGGAGGGAGACCCACGTGGTGAACAGGGAGAGAGACACAGGGAGAGAGACAGGGAGAGAGAGACAGAGAGACAGACATGGAGACAGGGAGAGAGACAGGGAGAGAGAGAGACAGAGAGACAGGGAGAGAGAGACAGAGAGACAGGGAGAGACAGAGAGACAGACAGGGAGACAGAGAGACAGGGAGAGAGACAGGGAGAGACAGACAGGGAAGGAGGGAGACCCACGTGGTGAACAGGGAGAGAGAGACAGAGAGACAGGGAGAGAGACAGAGAGACAGGGAGAGAGACAGGGAGAGACAGACAGGGAAGGAGGGAGACCCACGTGGTGAACAGGGAGAGAGAGACAGAGAGCCAGAGAGACAGGGAGAGAGACAGGGAGACAGGGAGAGAGACAGGGATAGACAGACAGGGAAGGAGGGAGACCCACGTGGTGAACAGGGAGAGAGAGACAGAGAGACAGAGAGACAGGGAGAGAGACAGGGAGACAGGGAGAGACACAGGGAGAGACAGACAGGGAAGGAGGGAGACCCACGTGGTGAACAGGGAGAGAGAGACAGGGAGAGAGAGAGACAGGGAGAGAGACAGGGAGACAGGGAGAGAGACAGGGAGAGACAGACAGGGAAGGAGGGAGACCCACGTGGTGAACAGGGAGAGAGAAACAGAGAGACAGAGAGACAGGGAGAGAGACAGGGAGACAGGGAGAGACACAGGGAGAGACAGACAGGGAAGGAGGGAGACCCACGTGGTGAACAGGGAGAGAGAGACAGAGAGACAGGGAGAGAGACAGGGAGACAGGGAGAGACACAGGGAGAGACAGACAGGGAAGGAGGGAGACCCACGTGGTGAACAGGGAGAGAGAGACAGAGAGACAGACAGGGAGACAGAGAGACAGAGAGACAGGGAGAGACAGACAGAGAAGGAGGGAGACCCACGTGGTGAACAGGGAGAGAGAGACAGGGAGAGAGACAGAGAGACAGGGAGAGAGACAGGGAGACAGGGAGAGACACAGGGAGAGACAGACAGGGAAGGAGGGAGACCCACGTGGTGAACAGGGACAGAGAGACAGGGAGAGAGACAGGGAGACAGGGAGAGACACAGGGAGAGACAGACAGGGAAGGAGGGAGACCCACGTGGTGAACAGGGAGTCGTAGTTTTGCTTCAACAGGTCCCGCTCCTGCTCCAGGTCTCGGATTTGCTCCCTCAGCTGAGCACAGCAACAGCAGTAGCACAGTGTTAGTAGCACAGTGTTAGTAGTAGTAGCACAGTGTTAGTAGTAGTAGCACAGTGTTAGTAGTACAGTGGTAGTAGTAGCACAGTGTTAGTAGTAGTAGCACAGTGTTAGTAGTAGTAGCACAGTGTTAGTAGTAGCACAGTGTTAGTAGCACAGTGTTAGTAGTAGTACAGTGTTAGTAGCACAGTGTTAGTAGCACAGTGGTAGTAGTAGTAGCACAGTGTTAGTAGCACAGTGTTAGTAGCACAGTGTTAGTAGTAACACAGTGTTAGTAGCACAGTGGTAGTAGTAGTAGCACAGTGTTAGTAGTAGTACAGTGTTAGTAGCACAGTGTTAGTAGTAGCACAGTGTTAGTAGTAGTACAGTGTTAGTAGCACAGTGTTAGTAGTAGCACAGTGTTAGTAGTAGTAGCACAGTGTTAGTAGTAGTACAGTGTTAGTAGTAGTACAGTGTTAGTAGTACAGTGTTAGTAGTAGTAGCACAGTGTTAGTAGTAGTAGCACAATGTTAGTAGTAGCACAGTGTTAGTAGTAGTAGCACAATGTTAGTAGTAGCACAGTGTTAGTAGTAGCACAGTGTTAGTAGTAGTAGTAGCACAGTGTTAGTAGTAGTAGCACAGTGTTAGTAGTAGCACAGTGTTAGTAGTAGTACAGTGTTAGTAGTAGCACAGTGGTAGTAGCACAGTGTTAGTAGTAGCACAGTGTTAGTAGTACAGTGGTAGTAGTAGCACAGTGTTAGTAGTAGTACAGTGTTAGTAGTAGCACAGTGTTAGTAGTAGTACAGTGTTAGTAGTAGTAGCACAGTGTTAGGAGTAGCACAGTGTTAGTAGTAGTACAGTGTTAGTAGTAGTAGTACAGTGTTAGTAGTAGCACAGTGTTAGTAGTAGCACAGTGTTAGTAGTAGTACAGTGGTAGTAGTAGTACAGTGGTAGTAGTAGTACAGTGGTAGTAGTAGTACAGTGGTAGTAGTAGTACAGTGGTAGTAGTAGCACAGTGTTAGTAGTAGCACAGTGTTAGTAGTAGTAGCACAGTGTTAGTAGTAGTAGCACAGTGTTAGTAGTAGTAGCACAGTGTTAGTAGTAGTAGCACAGTGTTAGTAGCACAGTGTTAGTAGTAGTAGTACAGTGTTAGTAGTAGCACAGTGTTAGTAGTAGCACAGTGTTAGTAGTAGCACAGTGTTAGTAGTAGTACAGTGGTAGTAGTAGTACAGTGGTAGTAGTAGTACAGTGGTAGTAGTAGTACAGTGGTAGTAGTAGCACAGTGTTAGTAGTAGTAGCACAGTGTTAGTAGTAGCACAGTGTTAGTAGTAGTAGCACAGTGTTAGTAGTAGTAGCACAGTGTTAGTAGTAGTAGCACAGTGTTAGTAGTAGTAGCACAGTGTTAGTAGTAGTAGCACAGTGTTAGTAGTAGTACAGTGTTAGTAGTAGCACAGTGTTAGTAGTAGTAGCACAGTGTTAGTAGTAGTAGCACAGTGTTAGTAGTAGTAGCACAGTGTTAGTAGTAGTAGCACAGTGTTAGTAGTAGTAGCACAGTGTTAGTAGTAGTAGCACAGTGTTAGTAGTAGTACAGTGTTAGTAGTAGCACAGTGTTAGTAGTAGTACAGTGTTAGTAGTAGCACAGTGTTAGTAGTAGCACAGTGTTAGTAGTAGTAGCACAGTGTTAGTAGTAGTAGCACAGTGTTAGTAGTATCACAGTGTTAGTAGTAGTACAGTGTTAGTAGTAGTACAGTGTTAGTAGCACAGTGTTAGTAGTAGCACAGTGTTAGTAGTAGTACAGTGGTAGTAGTAGTACAGTGGTAGTAGTAGCACAGTGTTAGTAGTAGCACAGTGTTAGTAGTAGCACAGTGTTAGTAGTAGTAGCACAGTGTTAGTAGTAGTACAGTGTTAGTAGTAGCACAGTGTTAGTAGTAGCACAGTGTTAGTAGTAGTAGCACAGTGTTAGTAGTAGTAGCACAGTGTTAGTAGTAGCACAGTGTTAGTAGTAGTAGTACAGTGTTAGTAGTATCACAGTGTTAGTAGTAGTACAGTGTTAGTAGTAGTACAGTGTTAGTAGTAGTACAGTGTTAGTAGCACAGTGTTAGTAGTAGTAGCACAGTGTTAGTAGTAGTACAGTGTTAGTAGTAGTACAGTGTTAGTAGTAGTACAGTGTTAGTAGTAGCACAGTGTTAGTAGTAGCACAGTGTTAGTAGTAGTACAGTGGTAGTAGTAGTACAGTGGTAGTAGTAGTACAGTGGTAGTAGTAGTAGTACAGTGGTAGTAGTAGTACAGTGGTAGTAGTAGTACAGTGTTAGTAGTAGCACAGTGTTAGTAGTAGCACAGTGTTAGTAGTAGTAGCACAGTGTTAGTAGTAGCACAGTGTTAGTAGTAGTAGCACAGTGTTAGTAGTAGTAGCACAGTGTTAGTAGTAGTAGCACAGTGTTAGTAGTAGTAGCACAGTGTTAGTAGTAGTAGCACAGTGTTAGTAGCACAGTGTTAGTAGTAGCACAGTGTTAGTAGCACAGTGTTAGTAGTAGTAGTACAGTGTTAGTAGTAGTAGCACAGTGTTAGTAGTAGTAGTACAGTGTTAGTAGTAGTACAGTGTTAGTAGTAGCACAGTGTTAGTAATAGCACAGTGTTAGTAGTAGTAGCACAGTGTTAGTAGTAGTAGCACAGTGTTAGTAGTAGTAGCACAGTGTTAGTAGTAGTAGCACAGTGTTAGTAGTAGTACAGTGTTAGTAGTAGTACAGTGTTAGTAGTAGTAGCACAGTGTTAGTAGTAACACAGTGTTAGTAGTACAGTGTTAGTAGTAGTAGCACAGTGTTAGTAGTAGCACAGTGTTAGTAGTAGTAGCACAGTGTTAGTAGTAGTACAGTGTTAGTAGTAGTACAGTGTTAGTAGTAGTAGCACAGTGTTAGTAGTAGTAGCACAGTGTTAGTAGTAGTACAGTGTTAGTAGTAGTAGCACAGTGTTAGTAGTAACACAGTGTTAGTAGTACAGTGTTAGTAGTAGTAACACAGTGTTAGTAGTAGTAGCACAGTGTTAGTAGTAACACAGTGTTAGTAGTAGTAGCACAGTGTTAGTAGTAGTACAGTGTTAGTAGTAGCACAGTGTTAGTAGTAGTACAGTGTTAGTAGTAGTACAGTGTTAGTAGCACAGTGTTAGTAGTAGTACAGTGTTAGTAGTAGTAGCACAGTGTTAGTAGTAGTACAGTGTTAGTAGTAGTAGCACAGTGTTAGTAGCACAGTGTTAGTAGTAGTAGCACAGTGTTAGTAGTAGTAGTACAGTGTTAGTAGTAACACAGTGTTAGTAGTAGTAGCACAGTGGTAGTAGTAGCACAGTGTTAGTAGTAGTAGCACAGTGTTAGTAGTAGCACAGTGTTAGTAGTAGCACAGTGTTAGTAGTAGTAGTAGCACAGTGTTAGTAGCACAGTGTTAGTAGTAGTAGCACAGTGTTAGTAGTAGTACAGTGTTAGTAGTAGTAGCACAGTGTTAGTAGTAGCACAGTGTTAGTAGTAGTAGCACAGTGTTAGTAGTAGCACAGTGGTAGTAGTAGTACAGTGGTAGTAGTAGTACAGTGGTAGTAGTAGTACAGTGGTAGTAGTAGCACAGTGTTAGTAGTAGTACAGTGTTAGTAGTAGCACAGTGTTAGTAGTAGCACAGTGTTAGTAGTAGCACAGTGTTAGTAGTAGTACAGTGTTAGTAGTAGTACAGTGGTAGTAGTAGTAGTACAGTGGTAGTAGTAGTACAGTGGTAGTAGTAGCACAGTGTTAGTAGTAGTACAGTGTTAGTAGTAGCACAGTGTTAGTAGTAGCACAGTGTTAGTAGTAGCACAGTGTTAGTAGTAGTACAGTGGTAGTAGTAGTACAGTGGTAGTAGTAGTACAGTGGTAGTAGTAGTACAGTGGTAGTAGTAGCACAGTGTTAGTAGTAGTAGCACAGTGTTAGTAGTAGCACAGTGTTAGTAGTAGTAGCACAGTGTTAGTAGTAGTAGCACAGTGTTAGTAGTAGTAGCACAGTGTTAGTAGTAGTACAGTGTTAGTAGTAGCACAGTGTTAGTAGTAGCACAGTGTTAGTAGTAGTACAGTGGTAGTAGTAGTAGTACAGTGGTAGTAGTAGTACAGTGGTAGTAGTAGTACAGTGGTAGTAGTAGCACAGTGTTAGTAGTAGTACAGTGTTAGTAGTAGCACAGTGTTAGTAGTAGCACAGTGTTAGTAGTAGCACAGTGTTAGTAGTAGTACAGTGGTAGTAGTAGTACAGTGGTAGTAGTAGTACAGTGGTAGTAGTAGCACAGTGTTAGTAGTAGTAGCACAGTGTTAGTAGTAGCACAGTGTTAGTAGTAGTAGCACAGTGTTAGTAGTGGTAGCACAGTGTTAGTAGTAGTAGCACAGTGTTAGTAGCACAGTGTTAGTAGTAGTACAGTGTTAGTAGTAGCACAGTGGTAGTAGTAGTAGCACAGTGTTAGTAGTAGCACAGTGTTAGTAGTAGTAGCACAGTGTTAGTAGTAGTAGTACAGTGTTAGTAGTAGTACAGTGTTAGTAGTAGCACAGTGTTAGTAGTAGTACAGTGTTAGTAGTAGCACAGTGTTAGTAGCACAGTGTTAGTAGTAGTAGCACAGTGTTAGTAGTAGTACAGTGTTAGTAGTAGTACAGTGTTAGTAGTACAGTGTTAGTAGTAGTACAGTGTTAGTAGTAGCACAGTGTTAGTAGTAGTACAGTGTTAGTAGTAGCACAGTGTTAGTAGCACAGTGTTAGTAGTAATACAGTGTTAGTAGTAGCACAGTGTTAGTAGTAGCACAGTGTTAGTAGTAGCACAGTGTTAGTAGCACAGTGTTAGTAGCACAGTGTTAGTAGTAGTAGCACAGTGTTAGTAGTAGCACAGTGTTAGTAGTAGTAGCACAGTGTTAGTAGTAGTACAGTGTTAGTAGTAGTAGCACAGTGTTAGTAGCACAGTGTTAGTAGCACGGTGTTAGTAGTAGTAGCACAGTGTTAGTAGTAGTACA